AATGAGAGAATTGGGAGCAGATTCAAAATGTAGGGTTATTTCGAAAATTTGAGATTGAAATGTTTTCAAAGAGAGAAGCTGGAGAACATTTCATGGAGCACCTTCGATGAAATGTTCTCTAGCTTCTTTTTCTGAAAACATTTCAATCTCAAATTTTCGAAATAACCCTATATTTTGAATCTGCCCCCAATTCTCTCATCACGTCATTCTTTCATTTTAAAAAAAAATTCCACGTGCACCAATCACATTTAGACACGCGTCCAGTGTCTAAATGTTGTTAAAACAAGTTGTTCAAATATCATTTTCCATAAAGTTATCGTTTCATTTAAATTTATCTGATTTTTTAAATTTAATCAGTTTCTTAAATTTAACTGTTTTTCTAAAAACTAAATAAATAAAAATCATCTATTAAATAAATAAAAATTATTTACAAAATAAACAAAAACTATAAGTTAAATTATAAAAGTATTTATATTTATTTTTATAATCATAATTTTATTATCTTTTATTATAAAAATAACACACATGTACATAAGATATATTTTAACTAGTTATCAAATAAAGTAAATTAGTTTTAATAATAAAAATGGAAGCTACTTTCAGTTTTTAACCCATGCATATCTAACTAACCTTTTATTAAATACATAAATTATTTACTCTATTCTTTTCACTTTAATTTGATATCATACAAACTATACTTTATTTTCTTAAATATAAATAATATAGAATAAAATAATAATCTTGTAGCTTCTCAATATAAATTACAGTAATAGTAAAAGGTATATTTTTTTTATCATGTTATTTATTTATATTGATGTTGTATGTGTAAATTTTTTAATGATTTTGGTAAACTGAGAAGTACTCAATTTTGTATTCAAAGGATGTCTTGGTTTACCGAACACAAATATTAAATAAGATTTGATTATCTATTACAAGAAGATTCACATTGATTTGTGTGACATTCAAGGTTTAAACTTTCTAAGTGAAATAATAGACATACAAAATTAGAAAAATAAAATAAGATATGGAAGCTTAAGAATGTTTAAGAAGCATAATCAAATTCAACCTAAAATATGAATCTCAAATTTACTTCTTATAGTGAAAGTAATGATACAAGAAGTTTGAATCAATTCTACTGTTAGTAAAACAATAATTGAAACATAATTGTGAAGAAAAAAAACACATACAAGAAACGAGAGTTGAATTGTAATTTTAAAAATTTTCTACACTTGTTGTAAATATCATTTTATTGGTAGTGTTTAGACTACGTTTTTACAAATTAAGTAATCAATTGAAACTAATGAAGAAATATAGACTCAACATTTAATTCTTAATTGGTTGTTAAATTGTTTTAATTTTACTTATTTTTAAATTACTCTCCTTCTATGTTAGTCATGTTAGTATGAATAAAAATTACATCAAAAGTAGACAAATAGATAAAGAAATTATATACATAATATTTTTATACAAGTTAATAGTCAAACAAACTATGTCTAGTTTCAATAAATTGATTAAGTTTCACTAAACATATTAATGATGTGAAGTACAATTTGAGTATTATTTTGTCTCGTAGTCATTTCTAACAACCTCTTTAGTATATTTAGGGTTAAAGTCATTCTTAGGTAACCCTTTTAGTACTCTTTCAACAAGCCACTTTTGATTCAACCAAGTATACTTTTCCAAGCCACTCTTGACTCAATCAAGAATTTATTTCGGTAACATCCCTATTTACATAGTTAATGGTCATATGTCACTCTAGGAATGAAGATTCTTCATAGGTAGTGGCTACATGTTCTCTTCTTATTGGAGATGATTTTTCTCATTGTCTCCAAGTTAGGTCAAGGTAGTGTTTTTAGGGTTTTGCTTCTACAATTTCGAGACCACCTTAAGCCCATAAAGGAGGTGTCTCCCCCATGTAAATTGACCTTTGAATTTCATTAAAGTTATGATGTCATTTTTGTGTCATATTACTCATCTTAGATCATCAAAGGCTAGAGCATCTCATGTGGTCTCCTCTAGCCACCTTTCTCTAGAGTTGGCCTAATATCTCTAAGAGCACCATCAAACACCACCCCATCACCTTCCAAACACCAAGGTCGCGAGCCTTCTCCTCCATAACCATCCAAATTCTGCACCATCTCACCTTTTTCACCATCACCATAGCTTCTCTTCTAGTTTTGGCCTAACCTAGCAACGAAGGTTGTTATCATTCCTACATCATCTTAGAAAAATCTTGGTATAGGGATTCGTTAGTAACATTGAATATTATATCATCAACATAAATTTGAACTATAATGAAATCATAGTTGATGTATTTGCGAATCAATGTAATATCTACCTTCCCTATTGAAAAACCGTTTAGGGTAAAAAAAGAACTTAAGCGTTCATAAGCTCTAAGAGCTTATTTCGAACCATACAACGCTTTATTTAGTTTACAAACGTGTTTATTTGTAGAGCAAGCAAAACTAGGAGGTTTTTCCACACATACTTCTTCTTTGATTTCACCATTTATGAATGAACTCTTTACATCCATTTCAAGTAATTTAATTTTGTTAAATGCTATAAATGATAATAAAATTCTAATAGCTCCTAACCTGGCAATAGGAGCGTATGTTTTTATGTAATCAATACCTTTATATTGGAAATAACTTTTAGCAACATACTTCCTAAACACACAAAGCCAAACCAATGGTAGGGTGCCACGTCATTATATTCTTTATCTCAACCTTCCTCCTTCAGAAACCCTAGTTACCGCATCGGAACAACGCTAGCGATCAACCAACATCTTCATCAAACCATCGTGAAAGTCATCAATCATCAGAACCTACCACCATAAACTCCTTCAAACTCACGAACAAACCAACGCACCTCCATCAACGAATCTTGTGCCTCCTTCATATCAACCATCGTGAATCACTAGCCTTGTCTCCTCCATCAGCAACCGCCACATCCTTCATTAGTCACCCAAATTGAAGGCCATCTATGACACAAAAACCCCAAATAACTAAAAACCCTCGCATCATCACCTTCATCATGCCACAATGAGCCACCACAATCAACCTCTACGACAACCCCAAAACCCACTTACACTTGAGACCACTACCCATAATCTTGCACCACCACGCAAACTAGAGAGCGTGAAAGCCACATGTAAATCAAAACAACCACAGAACGTGAATCACGAATCAAAAAGCGTTAAATTGCGAGTTTGTGTGAGCTTCGACTCCATTATCTTCAATCACCATCATCCTCTCACCAATTCGCATATCCACCCTAGACCAACGTTTACCACTACGAGATTTGTCTTCTCCTTCTTGCAACCAAACTTGCAAAATGAAAACGATAACTAGAAAATCCTAAATCGAAGCAGCCACCACGAGTCTTCGAATATCAACCTCCACTACAGCAAAACCCTAATTTTGGGTTGATGAGGGAACTAACACATGGAAGTCCCTCATTGTGCAGTGTCTCCTTGGGTCAAACAATCAACCCTAGGTCAAACAGTTCAAGCTAGTTAAACAAAAGGGCCTAAAATGACAATATCAATATCTTTTGGGTTTCTTTATAATTTTGGACAAAATAAGAAGGGTTAAACTGGGATTTTGGGGAAAATTCAGTTATTGATGATTTATTATATATTTTACAAAATAATTAATTTAATTATATATGAAAATATCATCAGAAATATTTGCCAAATAATTTTAAAATTGATTAAATATTTTAAAATATTTAGGAGATATTACATTATCAAAGAAGAGATTTCTTCAACACAATAGTCAAAATCCAAGTCCAATCAAGTTTTATACGAAGAGACCAACAAAAAGTAGAAGAGACATTAACAACTCTGGTTTTGAGGATCATTCATCCATCACATCTCTCTTTCTCTTAATTTTATTTTCATTCATCTTGTATTTCACTCATCCATAGATGTCCAAGCTTCTAGAGTTGTTAATTTCATTATAAATTATGAGGTTAGGTTGAATTAATGTCTTTGTTCTTTTTATTATTTGTGTTATCTTTCTTCTATGTCTTTTATCTCTTAATCATATGATTGAATGAGTTTTCGCTGCCAATTTAGAATGTACTTTGATTAGTGGTAAAAATTTTAACAATAATTAGTCAAGAATGTATTTTGATTAATTAACTTTTAACTTGATTAGGCGATAAAAAAAATACATATGATTAACATAATAAGATTTAATCGAGAATATATTTTGGTTGAATTTATTATGAATAATTTAGAAAAGTCTAGTTTTAAACTGAAAATATACTATGGTTAATACTAAGATATTTAAGAATGTACTTTAATTAATTTGAAATCAAAAGCAATAATCAATTAAACAATAACATGTAATTAACGATGATGAATCTATTTTTGAAAAACAGTGAAATTATCTTATTTACTATAATTGATTTAAAATCTTTTATTTGTTATTTCATTAAATTCACACTTAAACCATCTTAGATAGATTTTTATTTTTAAATTTTAGTATTTTTATTGTGTTTTACTAACTTTTTGAGTAAAATTTAATAAAAATTAATTATTGAAAAATAATTTCTTATTGACTAAGAAACGACTCAGGATTAAAGACAATGTATCACCAAGCTACCGAGCTAAATCATAAAACACCCATTTGGGGGAAAGCACCCTGTCAGTTGGGCATAACCAATTAAAGAGGCTGATACGCACCGTTAGAGGTCCTCTTGCAAATTTTGTTCGTCTTTTGTAAAATTAGGGTTTAGATTCTTTTTAAAAGGTGGTTTTCTTTCCTTCTTTGAGAAGACAATAATCAAACAGCAAAATCATCTTCGTCTTCTCCTTCCTCTCCTATTTTGAAAATTTTCTTCTTCCTAGAGTAGAGATAGATTAGGGTTCGAGAGATAAGTGTGTGGGATTCAACTCTTCAACGTAGAGTGTTCTTGATTTAGTGAGCTAAAGTATATATATTTTCATAATGTATTTTAGAAATAAGACAATAGTTATTTAGTTGTGGAATTATTTAAAGATCGAGATGTGATAAGCCCTTGCAACCAATAACATCAACCCACTCTATTTGGACAACAATTTCCCCACTCTCAACATTTCTCAATTTCAAAACCATTTCTTGGACGATGTTTTCATTTTGCCAGACGCAGTTGCTTTCTTTGGCAAGGCAATTAGTTTCATCTGGTTGAATGATCCTCACTACAGTACCATTTGGAAGGTTAGTCCATCCCATTCTCACAGATTGAACATATGGTATTAAGTCTATGTCTGCATCTCCCATTTTGTCATCCCCTGAGAATGTGTCTTTGTCATAAACTGACTGCAAAACAAAAACTTTCCCATGAAAGCATATATCAACATAGAATGTAATGCCATTAACTTTTCTGATATTATATGAATTTTTCTTTTGGTGTTATGATTTGCATGAGACCTTACCAAACGTATCGGGGTTGTAACGTCCTTTATAGAAAGAGTCCTTTCTTCATTCCACTCAGGATTGCAGTTGTTTTTTTTAACGGAAGTCTTCAGCTTCTGCATAAATATATCAAAGTATGATTATAAACGAATCTTTTTTATTAAAAGTATAAAACAAATTCATTTTTTTGGATGATTTATAACTAAGAAATGATAAAAGTTCTCTTTTCTCTCTCAAATGATACTCAACTCACTACTACTCTTCAACTTACTAGTTGGATTACTTAATTACTCTTTTGTGTCTCTAACTCTCTCAAGACCCCTTTATAGTGAATGATTGAGGTTTCTAGATCAAGAATGATAATGGATATTAAACGTTCTTCACTTTTCCAAAGATGATTGTACATATCTTCAAAAGTCAAAGAAATAATTCTAAGACCATGGAATAAACCATTTTATTATATAAGAATTGCATCCCTTAAGGAGGGAAGTAAATTCCAAAATTCTCCCCCTTCCTTACTTAATTCAGGGTATCAAAGTCCTACTTCCTTGACTCGTAACATCTTAGTTAAAATGTCAAACCAATTATCATTTGTGTGAACTTTCTTGAACAATAATAAGTCATCATTCAAAGCTTTCCCCATCCAATGATAACGAACATCAATATGATTTTACGGGAATGATAAGTGGAATTTTTAGCTAACTGAATTGCACTTTGATTGTTACAATACACCACAAAGATTTCTTAATTGTGANCTCATGTGGTCTCCTCTAGCCACCTTTCTCTAGAGTTGGCCTAATATCTCTAAGAGCACCATCAAACACCACCCCATCACCTTCCAAACACCAAGGTCGCGAGCCTTCTCCTCCATAACCATCCAAATTCTGCACCATCTCACCTTTTTCACCATCACCATAGCTTCTCTTCTAGTTTTGGCCTAACCTAGCAACGAAGGTTGTTATCATTCCTACATCATCTTAGAAAAATCTTGGTATAGGGATTCGTTAGTAACATTGAATATTATATCATCAACATAAATTTGAACTATAATGAAATCATAGTTGATGTATTTGCGAATCAATGTAATATCTACCTTCCCTATTGAAAAACCGTTTAGGGTAAAAAAAGAACTTAAGCGTTCATAAGCTCTAAGAGCTTATTTCGAACCATACAACGCTTTATTTAGTTTACAAACGTGTTTATTTGTAGAGCAAGCAAAACTAGGAGGTTTTTCCACACATACTTCTTCTTTGATTTCACCATTTATGAATGAACTCTTTACATCCATTTCAAGTAATTTAATTTTGTTAAATGCTATAAATGATAATAAAATTCTAATAGCTCCTAACCTGGCAATAGGAGCGTATGTTTTTATGTAATCAATACCTTTATATTGGAAATAACTTTTAGCAACATACTTCCTAAACACACAAAGCCAAACCAATGGTAGGGTGCCACGTCATTATATTCTTTATCTCAACCTTCCTCCTTCAGAAACCCTAGTTACCGCATCGGAACAACGCTAGCGATCAACCAACATCTTCATCAAACCATCGTGAAAGTCATCAATCATCAGAACCTACCACCATAAACTCCTTCAAACTCACGAACAAACCAACGCACCTCCATCAACGAATCTTGTGCCTCCTTCATATCAACCATCGTGAATCACTAGCCTTGTCTCCTCCATCAGCAACCGCCACATCCTTCATTAGTCACCCAAATTGAAGGCCATCTACGACACAAAAACCCCAAATAACTAAAAACCCTCGCATCATCACCTTCATCATGCCACAATGAGCCACCACAATCAACCTCTACGACAACCCCAAAACCCACTTACACTTGAGACCACTACCCATAATCTTGCACCACCACGCAAACTAGAGAGCGTGAAAGCCACATGTAAATCAAAACAACCACAGAACGTGAATCACGAATCAAAAAGCGTTAAATTGCGAGTTTGTGTGAGCTTCGACTCCATTATCTTCAATCACCATCATCCTCTCACCAATTCGCATATCCACCCTAGACCAACGTTTACCACTACGAGATTTGTCTTCTCCTTCTTGCAACCAAACTTGCAAAATGAAAACGATAACTAGAAAATCCTAAATCGAAGCAGCCACCACGAGTCTTCGAATATCAACCTCCACTACAGCAAAACCCTAATTTTGGGTTGATGAGGGAACTAACACATGGAAGTCCCTCATTGTGCAGTGTCTCCTTGGGTCAAACAATCAACCCTAGGTCAAACAGTTCAAGCTAGTTAAACAAAAGGGCCTAAAATGACAATATCAATATCTTTTGGGTTTCTTTATAATTTTGGACAAAATAAGAAGGGTTAAACTGGGATTTTGGGGAAAATTCAGTTATTGATGATTTATTATATATTTTACAAAATAATTAATTTAATTATATATGAAAATATCATCAGAAATATTTGCCAAATAATTTTAAAATTGATTAAATATTTTAAAATATTTAGGAGATATTACATTATCAAAGAAGAGATTTCTTCAACACAATAGTCAAAATCCAAGTCCAATCAAGTTTTATACGAAGAGACCAACAAAAAGTAGAAGAGACATTAACAACTCTGGTTAGGAGGAGCAGTCATCCATCACATCTCTCTTTCTCTTAATTTTATTTTCATTCATCATGTATTTCACTCATCCATAGATGTCCAAGCTTCTAGAGTTGTTAATTTCATTATAAATTATGAGGTTAGGTTGAATTAATGTCTTTGTTCTTTTTATTATTTGTGTTATCTTTCTTCTATGTCTTTTATCTCTTAATCATATGATTGAATGAGTTTTCGCTGCCAATTTAGAATGTACTTTGATTAGTGGTAAAAATTTTAACAATAATTAGTCAAGAATGTATTTTGATTAATTAACTTTTAACTTGATTAGGCGATAAAAAAAATACATATGATTAACATAATAAGATTTAATCGAGAATATATTTTGGTTGAATTTATTATGAATAATTTAGAAAAGTCTAGTTTTAAACTGAAAATATACTATGGTTAATACTAAGATATTTAAGAATGTACTTTAATTAATTTGAAATCAAAAGCAATAATCAATTAAACAATAACATGTAATTAACGATGATGAATCTATTTTTGAAAAACAGTGAAATTATCTTATTTACTATAATTGATTTAAAATCTTTTATTTGTTATTTCATTAAATTCACACTTAAACCATCTTAGATAGATTTTTATTTTTAAATTTTAGTATTTTTATTGTGTTTTACTAACTTTTTGAGTAAAATTTAATAAAAATTAATTATTGAAAAATAATTTCTTATTGACTAAGAAACGACTCAGGATTAAAGACAATGTATCACCAAGCTACCGAGCTAAATCATAAAACACCCATTTGGGGGAAAGCACCCTGTCAGTTGGGCATAACCAATTAAAGAGGCTGATACGCACCGTTAGAGGTCCTCTTGCAAATTTTGTTCGTCTTTTGTAAAATTAGGGTTTAGATTCTTTTTAAAAGGTGGTTTTCTTTCCTTCTTTGAGAAGACAATAATCAAACAGCAAAATCATCTTCGTCTTCTCCTTCCTCTCCTATTTTGAAAATTTTCTTCTTCCTAGAGTAGAGATAGATTAGGGTTCGAGAGATAAGTGTGTGGGATTCAACTCTTCAACGTAGAGTGTTCTTGATTTAGTGAGCTAAAGTATATATATTTTCATAATGTATTTTAGAAATAAGACAATAGTTATTTAGTTGTGGAATTATTTAAAGATCGAGATGTGATAAGCCCTTGCAACCAATAACATCAACCCACTCTATTTGGACAACAATTTCCCCACTCTCAACATTTCTCAATTTCAAAACCATTTCTTGGACGATGTTTTCATTTTGCCAGACGCAGTTGCTTTCTTTGGCAAGGCAATTAGTTTCATCTGGTTGAATGATCCTCACTACAGTACCATTTGGAAGGTTAGTCCATCCCATTCTCACAGATTGAACATATGGTATTAAGTCTATGTCTGCATCTCCCATTTTGTCATCCCCTGAGAATGTGTCTTTGTCATAAACTGACTGCAAAACAAAAACTTTCCCATGAAAGCATATATCAACATAGAATGTAATGCCATTAACTTTTCTGATATTATATGAATTTTTCTTTTGGTGTTATGATTTGCATGAGACCTTACCAAACGTATCGGGGTTGTAACGTCCTTTATAGAAAGAGTCCTTTCTTCATTCCACTCAGGATTGCAGTTGTTTTTTTTAACGGAAGTCTTCAGCTTCTGCATAAATATATCAAAGTATGATTATAAACGAATCTTTTTTATTAAAAGTATAAAACAAATTCATTTTTTTGGATGATTTATAACTAAGAAATGATAAAAGTTCTCTTTTCTCTCTCAAATGATACTCAACTCACTACTACTCTTCAACTTACTAGTTGGATTACTTAATTACTCTTTTGTGTCTCTAACTCTCTCAAGACCCCTTTATAGTGAATGATTGAGGTTTCTAGATCAAGAATGATAATGGATATTAAACGTTCTTCACTTTTCCAAAGATGATTGTACATATCTTCAAAAGTCAAAGAAATAATTCTAAGACCATGGAATAAACCATTTTATTATATAAGAATTGCATCCCTTAAGGAGGGAAGTAAATTCCAAAATTCTCCCCCTTCCTTACTTAATTCAGGGTATCAAAGTCCTACTTCCTTGACTCGTAACATCTTAGTTAAAATGTCAAACCAATTATCATTTGTGTGAACTTTCTTGAACAATAATAAGTCATCATTCAAAGCTTTCCCCATCCAATGATAACGAACATCAATATGATTTTACGGGAATGATAAGTGAAATTTTTAGCTAACTGAATTGCACTTTGATTGTTACAATACACCACAAAGATTTCTTAATTGTGACCTAATTCACACAAAAAATTCTTCATCCACAAAGCCTCCTTACATGTTTCGCATCGTGCAATGTACTTGACTTCAATGGTTGATAAGGTGATATAGTTTTGAAGCTTTGACTGAGACAACACAACTCTCCCTTCAAAAATAGTTACATATCCAGATGTGAATTTTTTGATTGGATTTTTTTTACTTACATCACCTATCATGTAAAGCATCAGTGTACGCTTTTAGTTAGATATATTATCTTTATTATTTATATTTAATTAGTTTGTTATTATTTTTTTTATTTACATTTTGGGCTTAATCTATATTTCTTTTAATATAAATAGAGGACCCTATGTGTATATTCAACACAAGGGAGATTAATCTCATAAATAGTTTTCACTATATTTAACATATCTAGCCAGGTTCTTTTGAGAAAAAAATTATGTTGCCTCAGCCACTACACTAGTCGCTATCGGTGACGGTGCCATCAACCGCTGCTGGCGGCGTGGGCGTCTACCATCATTGTCTACTGCCATCGTCTACCACTATAGTCTACTACTACCACTAATGAAGTTCTAGTTTTGATCGACGATCACACGATTTTGATCATCTCGGCCAGGTGACCATTGTTTGTCAACGACGCCTTCATTAGAGCTCCTACGCGCTTTCAGCGCCTTTTGAAGTTGTGGATTTGATCCCTTTTTCGTCGTGCATGTGACACGTCTCGTCTCCTCTTAGGCAACAATTTAAAGCGTAGAGGTCACTCTTTTTCCTCTTTTAGGTTCATCGTGCATGGCCGCACGTCCCGTCTCCTATTAGGAAACTATTCAGAGCATCGAGATCGTTCTTTTTCCCTTTTCAAGTGCCTTGATTGGATAATCTTGGATTTTTAAGGTTTCTCTCTCCTATTCATCAATGACTTCTTTCATTGTTATTCCTTCTGACTTCTCTTCTATCACCATTGCATTTGATCTGTCTATATATGTTTTTTCTCTCGTGGCAA